TGTTTGGGGTGGGGAGTCCTGAGGAAGTGAATAAAGGAGAGAGAGAGAGAGAGAAAGAGAGAGAGAAAGAGAGAGAGAGAGAGAGAGAGAGAGAGAGAGAGAGAGAGACAAAGAGAGACAGAGGCAGTGACAGAAAGAGATATACAGGAGAACAGCGATTTTGCAAAAGATCCTCCACTAGCATTTCGAATCGAAGTGAGAAAAAGTAATCTTAAAACGGCACAGCCTGGGGCTGTTGACGAATCGCAATCACAAATAATTAAAACACACAAAAATAACAAACAAACCTGAACAAAACAACCAAACACTCAAAACGAAAAAAAAAACACCGCTAGTGATGATTGAGAGAGAGTACGCGTACGAGCGTATAACATAGTAAATACAGCTCACAAAGTATACAGAAATCGTAGAACGATTTCGATTTCCCACCATTAAAGGACCACAACAACAAACAAAACAAATCAAAATCGAGTAACAAAAAAAAAAGAAGAAAATACAAACAAAGAAAAAAAAAGATAAAATTAAATAACAAGCTGCTGATAATTAATCACATACGTATAGGACCCTACGTAGTAAATAAAAGTCATAAAAAATTAGAAGAATCGTGGGGAGATTATCAGATTACAGACAGTTAATTTATCACCTACGCGTAAAATGCGAAATCATCATGTTTTTTCTGGTGCGGAATTAAAACACACAAGCTTAAAAACAATCTTCGCGCGCTCATATGACCTTAGCAGTTGCGAGCGCCGTAAAACCTTATACTATACTACTAAAAACAATCTCTCTCTCTCTCTCTCTCTCACACACACACACACACTCACACACTCACGTACACATACACACACACGCACATATATACATACACACACGCACATATACACATACACCCACAGTATACACACAGTATACACACACCTACACATGGATAGACAGAAAGATAGGCACATACCCAAGGAGACACACACACACACACAAACACACACACACACACACACACACACATATACACACACACACACACACACACACACACATAGACTTACTTTTGGGTGTATTGTATCCAACGAACTTGCAACTGGTTGCCTGTGGAAATAAATGAGTACATATTTCAATCCGGAGACAATTATATTATATTGAAACAAACTGTTAATTGGAAGAATATACAACCCCAGGGGTACAAAATGACCTCAAGGCGTACGGATAGGGTTAATATCTCCACAGCAGAGAAATTGCACGGTCACCTCGCTGGAATGCCACGTATTCTATAAAATGACCTGACAAAATCAAAACAAAACAAAACGAATACAAAAACGGCCCGCAAAACTAATTAATAGTGTATGCAAAGTAGTCAGGTGTCATGTTTCCAGCAAACAATATTCTCTCTTCCTTTTTTTTTCCTTTTTTTTTTTTAAACAGCTACGGGGGGAAAAATCAAGGGCGAAAACAAAAACATGAACATAGATGGCTCCTGCATCTGTAATTACATTATCAAAATTGGAAACTGGGTAAGGGATGTGGCAGCAAATGTTTTTATACATAAATAATATTTATTTATTCTCTTGTTTTGCTGTGGCTATGTTAGAGTTTGGCGGGTGTCGATTTTTATTTTTGAGGAGCGCGCGGAAGGACACTAAATCTAGGACGAACTCTTATTAATTACACTACTCGCTTGGCAAGTGAGTCCTCTCCCCATTCGGGAATTGAACTCGGGTCTTCTGCGTGCGGGGCCGAAGCGTCAAACTGCTGCAAGTGGGTGGTTGGCGGGTGCTGTGGTGTGGTTTGCTTCTTCCTTCCTTTGAAACATCGATTGTCCATATCTCCCCTTCTTTTTTATGTTTGTTACTCTCTTGTAACACCTCTTATCTTCTGGCGCTCATATGACCTTATGCAGTTGCGAGCGCCGTAAAACCTCTACTAAAACTAAACAAAACCGCTACACTCCACACCCCGGAAACCACACCGTTAACTCCCAGCAATTTAACAATCATCCACCACGCTCCAGAAAAAAAGCTAGCCTACATAACAAAAAGAAGCCGCAAAGAATACCTACATACTTTCGAACTAGAGTTGTAAGAGTCTTTGTGGTCTGACCGCAGTCTATTTGAAACTTTCCCCGCCCTGATCGACATAGACAATGTTGGCAGGGTGGGTGGTCACCCTTGACCTTTCTTCTCGTTCCGGTCAGTTCGTTGTTGAAGGCTAGAGCAAGACACCTGTTTGGACATCTCTGACTCTGTGTGTGTGTGTGTGTGTGTGTGTGTGTGTGTGTGTGTGT